ATTTTGTATCCTTTTTGCTTACGTATCTGTTTTATAAGTATTACTTACCTCTTGCAGCTGTACGCTATCGAAGACCTTCTCTAGGTCGATTAAGCACTGGTCTGTTATCTTTAACATTGCATGTATACCCGACTTTGCAGATCAGTATCACTACTATTCATCCGTTAAGGATGTATATGCATTAATTTTGTCGGTAAGGATTTTTATGGTTACTTTTAAGGAGGCGGAGACTAGGTTGACCGTTCTATAGTTAGCTGGCACTTCTTTGGCGCCTTTTTTAACTAACGGTGTCGTTGGATTAGTCTTCCATGCAACCGGGATTCTATGATGATACAGAATTTTGTTAAGGAAAATTTTAAGTTGTTCTGTATTTCATCAACTCACTGATCTTACCATCAGGTCCAGGCCGTTTTCTGTGTTTTAGGTTCTTAAGTGCTAGTGATATATCTTTTTTTGTTCCATCTTAACATTGTCGTTAACTAGCAATGTATTAGGGTCGGTTTCAGTCTGTTATTTGCTGTACAATTCTTTTAAATAAGCAACTTCTAGAGTCCTTGGGTATGTGGTTACTGCTAATTAATTCATGTTTTAAAGATGTGATAAAGATCAATACCTCAAAAATACGGTCGGATTTATGCAACGGCATCAAACTTTTATCTACCGTTCACGTTGTTTGCCTTTTCTGATTACGGAATTTACTCACCCGACTATCCGTTTTATCCACGACGATTAGTTTTCGGTGTTATCTATAATAACGACTTTCTCACGTTGTCGGTTCCGTCAAAATTTACCTGCGTGGAAAATGACCGCCCCACTTAAAATCTCGACATTTTCACGGGGGAACGTCGCTCAACTGTAGAACATTGGGATTTTTTATTAGAATTTTCAGCAACGCGCACTAACGAAGCTCTCAACTCTTGGAGGATTTTATGTTACGTGAACCAACGACCCGATATGGCAACAGGGCGAATCATTTTGCGCGATTGTGTTTGACAGACGATGCAGTGCGCGGAGGTGTTCCGGTGACAAAAACTAGGAAGTGTCGAAATGAATCATTCACGATTCTCACAAATAAGCAAACGGATTTACGGGCAACCTTCTAAAGTAGGTGTTTGTCATTGTCATCGTCAAATCGCGTACATAAATATATTGATAATTAAAGTGTTACAATTAAATGTTTCGTGGCGAATTTTAACATGGGGTTAGCCAAAAAAATAGATTTAATTTTCCTCTGTTAGTATGTGCTACCCCATAATTGGTTATTCAGTTATTGCATATTTCTTAATTAGCTTTCCTCACTTGTGTGAATAATTAAACATCAAACTTTAGCACTAGGTTAAATCATATCACCAGACTGTGTAGGCGTTTGATAATATCTATATATAAATAATATTGCTATTTGCTAATAATCGTTTTGACTTCAGACTTTTTCACGATAGTTTAAATGACTATTTTTAATTAAATTTCTTATTATGCTTGTTGGTTTTAAGTCATTTGAAAATTTGTATTAAAACGCGGTATCGATATAGATACCGCGTTTTAATAAGTGGAGGAATAGCACACGCCGTGTTATCTGTACTTTTATTTATTTTTTACCTTTGTCGCCAATTTGGTGGTTACACCAGGAACCTATTCTCTTTTTCGTTCGCTGTGATATTTATACTTATAAACATTGAGTGGAGGTTGATGGTTCTTTAATAAAAATCATCAACATTTTATATAAAAACATTTATACTTTTAATGAATTAGGAAAGTTCCAGTATGACACGACATGAATATTTTGACCTTGAAGTTTATGTGCTTTAATTTACTTTTAAAGAAGCTAAAGGGTAATAATTATCAAAAATTGGCTATATATGGAATGCTTCATATTAAAAAAGATATAAATGATCGAAATGATATTAGTAATTTAAGTTAATTATATTACAATTTAATAACAATCTAAATTAAAAAATCAAATTCGCTTTCTTTTAATAATAATGCTGAAAAATACCAACTAACTAAACTAACCAACACTTTAATAAACTCTTAGCAACTAATAATAAACGCAAACTTCAAAGTCCAAATGTTCAACATTAAATATTATATTATTAAATATTTCAACGTTGAGCAATAAAAAGTAACTATTAACATATATGTAACCAATAAGTAATTATATTTTCAGCAGTTGTTGGCAGTAAAGTGGACCCTGGATTTTTTTACATTTTATTTTCCAATTTTTGGTGAAATATTGCATTTTTCGATTTTCCGTGGTCCGTTTTGGCGTTGCAAATCATCCGATTAGTGAGCACTGATTTGGTATCTTATCGCCATATGCTGCTGTAATAAAATTTGCAAAATATTTTGGGTAACGGGTTATGTTTATGTTATGTTTTGGTTACATTAAAAATCCCGAGACTCTAAAAATCATAACAATATATCTTATAAATGAAACGAACCATTTTTTACTGCCATGTTTTGATTATGTTATTTATGAGGTAAATTAGTGAGATAAAGAGTTTACCAAACGTGTTGCATACTATACTTTTATAATACATAACATATTACATATTACTACTTTTGTACCATTCAAACAAAATATTTGCTAAAGTTGAACTGAGGTGGCTTTTACTTGACGAAAATTCATTTAACAAAATAAATAAGAACTAAAAGTTCAGATTTTGAATTTAATGGACAGATTTACATCTCTAAGGAAAGTTTAATTATGGGAAACCCACTGAGTCCTTTGGTAGCCCAGATTTTTATGGATAATTTGGAAAATATCATACTAGAACATCCTTTAAGTAAAAGTTTTCTATGGTGGTATAGATACGTGGATGATGTCTTTGCTTGCTTTGTTGGAACGGACAGATAATTGAATTTTTTTTAGATTACATTAACTCATTACATAATCGTATAAATTTCCAGAAACTCAACTTTATTTTTTAAAAATGTTGTTCCTGTTAAGTTTATGAACCTTTTGTAAAATTGGTGGTCGGTATTCATACTTTGTAATAACTGGCTTGCTGTTAGATATTTTTGTATTGGAAATTAATTGGTCTACCTTTAGTTTTTGTGAATATATATAATTTCGGGAAAATCTCAACTTTTAGTTCTTATTTATTTTGTATAATATTTGCTAGTTGTCTCTTTTTAACGATGTACGTTAGACAGAGAGTGATGTATTATCGGATATGGCATATAATTTTTTCTACTTCCGTCTGTAAAATACCCAATAACGCACGGATCTAACGTGCGGGAAGCTTTACCACGTCAGCTGCGTTTCCCACGGATCCGAGCCAGTTCGGACTTTTCCGGGATTTTACCACACGGGTTTGGGAGCAATCGGATGTTTTCGGAGATATTTCCCACTCTTTGAATGTTGACGTTTGTCAGTTCTGACGTTCATGTCAGTGAATGTATTCGCGTTGTTTTGCGAAAATATACCCAAAAACTAACGTTCGTAGAAAAAGTATAGTATGCAATACGTTCGGTATACTTTTTAAGTCACTCGTTTATTAAACACTCGCTCCGCTCGTTTCAAATAAACTCGTGAATCAAATGGTGTTTACCGCACTTGTTGCATAATGTACTATTACAGTCGGGAGTGGAAAAATGTGATGTTCTGTTTTAAATTGATTTCCGTCAAAGTTTTTCACAATTTCTCTTTTCGCCCTCATTTATTACTGTTTCTTTTCTTCCAGTACTTCAGTCAAGTTTACAGTTTTGGTTAGTTAAGAAACATTGAATACAGTGTATAGGATATCTCCAGGACACTAGAGTGCAATTTAAAATAGAAAAGTTTCATAGGTTTGTTTTACAAAGTTATACAAATGCGTAGATTCGTTTTTAGTTAAGGGAAATCAACATTATATATTACAAGAACATATCAAGTCGAAATGTAGAGCATCATATCTTCATCATCTTAATTTAATTTATCAAATAGATATTCAGGGTATCTTTACTGATTATTTTATTAAATATTGCTATACCATGATGATATCGTCCTTTCTCCATGTCGAACCACACAATTTCTCTCATTTCTCTCTCTACAAATTACTTTTTATATTGTTTGTATTGTTTATTGTAACGATTTATGTATGAGACTGCTGACTCGAATTAGAGCTCAAGTTTGTCTTAAATCAGGGAGCAATTATTAACTTTAACTTTCTTTTTCAAGTGTATATTTGAACAATTATGTGTGTATGTAGTATAAAGTTAGTCGCGTCATAAAGCACAGCAAGCACATTGTAAACATATAAAGATTTGCTGTTTGTATTATAAGTCATGTTTTGAAGTTTGATTTTATAAATATTTATTTATAACGCTATTTTATTTATTAATTTATCAGTCATAATAAAAAAACATAACGTTCAGCACCTCCTAATATTGTTAATTAGATAATATGAATTTTCGTTTACTTTAGTTAGTCACTGAAATAACTAAAATAACTAGAGTCTTCGTCGACATTAATAATAAGTGGAGGAATCTACTTGCTTGTTCCCTGTTATACCACTCGTCAATTACTCCTTATAGTTTCGAGCTCCTTTTTAAACAAGCATTTTGAATATGACCGTCTCTGGTTAGATGATTAAACATGTGTAATGGCCTTATAGATTGGTCCGAACTACTTCAATACCTTAAGTAACTACCTTTTTCAATACTGCGACAAGGAAAGCACTTTCGCAGATGTCATGGAATTAATTAGGATGGATTTATTCGTCATCAGTATAAAGTTATGTAAAAAGACTGTTAACGTATACCAAAAGGGTCAGTGATATTTGTTTCTTCATAGCCTGGCGCAGTCACAGGTCCATATTATATAGTCTTTATTGTTAAATAATTTACTTGTGATTGTCATTATATTTATCTAAGTATGTTTAATTCTCTCTAAAACCTGTGTGTTAAAACATTGTCTTTTAATTGCCCACAATTTGTCCGTTAGACATTAAAGAGTTATTATTTTTATTATTTATTTGGTATAAGCTATATCTATCCCGTCGCTTTTGATTTCATTCCAGGCCAATCCACCCGGGATAGTTTCGGTGCCGCGCGGAAGCAGGGGTCCAAGGAGTCTCTACCTCCGACGCCATGCGGACAGCTTCGGTTTCACATTACGCCATTTCATCGTCTATCCTCCAGAGTCTATCGCTGTAAGTGTATGATATGATGTTTTTTTAAGAATCTTCCACACTGTAATAATACTTTTTATAACACTTCTGGTCTTCTGAACTCGATCTTGCTAACGTGTCGCTCATCATCCTGTTTACTTCTTCAAAGCTTGACTGAACAGAACTGAAGAAGCCATCCAGAAGTTTTATAAAAAGTGTCTGATAAGATTGATATATGTTCGACCATGACACGTGTACACGCAGGAAGACGATGGCAGGCACGCAGCTTGTGGGGCGCTGCTCGCCCCTATGGACACCATCTTTGTGAAGCAAGTGCGCGAACGCAGTCCCGCCAGACAAGCGGGTTTGCAACGGGGCGATCGCATCGTTGCCGTCAACGGGGTGCCAACTGCTAGTAGCACGTACCAACAGGTGGTCCATCGGATCGCCAGCAGTCCCGACTACCTCCATCTGCTCGTCGTGCCAAAAGAAGAGGACGTACTTCAGAGGGTACGCTTGTTTAAGAGGTTCTCCGATATACTCCAAATCAAAATTCCATCCATCTTCCGCAAAAAAAAATTAGCAAAAACTTCGTTTTTAGCTCTTTCTCAAAGTTTTTTCAAGTCATCTATCAATAACTGCTCCGTTGTTTATCTATTCTATTTATATATTAGATAATCCTATAACATTTCATTTCTCATTGTAAACTATTGTACATTTCTCATTGTAAGTTATGCATCCACGAATATGCGGTCTTCTCATGGTGTCGACTTTTCTCTAGACAACTAATTGCGATGTGGTAAAGATATTATTCTCTTCTTTATTGTAAAAACCACTTCTTTACGTTTTCCAATTCTCCGCATCACTTCTGTATTTGTAATGTGATCGATGTAGCATATCGAAAGAATACGACCACATATTCTTAGCTAAATGTTAATGCTAAATATGGTTCGGGAGTTTTGAGTTTCTAGGCTTACCAGGTATGTATACGTGGCTATCTGTTCTATTGTTCAGTTGTTTATTTACGATTTGCATCAGAGGTCTTCGTGCCTTGCTGATGTCCATGCTTTCAGTCTTGGATGTGTTGAGATTTCGGCCTTACAGCGACTTTGCTTAAGTCTTTGTAGTTCGATGCAGTCATTTACGATGATAACTGTTTTATTAGCACATATTTTATATTTATTTTAAGAAGCAGCTCTATGAGCTTATCATATTTGACGTTGTCAAGTGCCATAGAAGAGTCTAAGAAGCACGTGAATCTCTGAATCTTTTAATCAGAACTTGTAGGCTGAAAATGGCTTCTCTTGTACCCAGTCCGCTACAGTAATTAAACTGAGGTTCTGGTATATTTTCCTCACATTTAATTTGGATTATCTTGTTAATATGATTTATCATTGCATTTCGTGTCTTGAGTGTGGATACAAAGCCATTAATCTGGAATATTTTCATAGAAACTTCTACAGTCTATTGTAGTACTATTTACAAGTGCTATGGATTCCTTCTGCGTAAATTATTTCTCCAATAATCATTTTGCATTTGCATTCTACTCAGTACCTGCTGATATACTAATTGAGGGAGGTAGAGCAAGCAAGTTGAAAACCGATTACTTCTGGGCCGGATGATGATGTGACAATGCACTGTGGTGTCGGTCTGTGTACGTGTAAAATGAATGACCCAATATTCGGTCTGATTTTGTATTTATAAGAATATCCAAAAATAGGAGATTGTTATTATTTTCTAATTCAATGGTTAGACATGTTATAGTGCACAGAGTTTAAATAACAAAAATATGATCAACGTAACGTTTTCATAGTTTTGGTTTTATTTCTCTAATTGGGAATTTAATTCCAGATTCTCGGATTTTAATATATCTTAAATAGTGTCAAGAGTTTCAGGAATAACGATTTTAATATAGAGGGGCTGCTCCTCCAATTGAGTTGTCAATAGGTCGAAGGAGTAAATCTGGTTTGTGAATCTTATTAGTGAGTCCATAGAATACATTGTCGAGATTAGACGAAAAATATCAGATATCAGCAGTTGCCTATTACAATCATGAACCGGACATAAAAATATTATTCGGCCAAACAAAAATTCTTGCATGCAATCATTTTTTCTACCAAAGAAAAATCCGAGAATACATAGAAATCTCTAAACAACCAAACAATTTTAACCGCGACTCTGGTCGTTTCATCTTTCGCCAAAATGGGAATCAGTCATCAGTCAATGTTCATGTCCCTTCTTTATCTCCGTCCCCTCAAACGGTAAATAAGCAGGTGCAAAGTAGAATTCAAAACAATTTCAATTACGCCATGAAGAAACTAACAGGATGATTTTCGAAATTAGAGATAAAAAGTTCTGTTAGAAATAAATGTCTTACGCAGAAGTTTTATTAGAAGATTTAGCATTCACTAGTGTTAGTATTTTAGTTATGCGCAAAGGGCTTAGGCTGAACACTTACTAAAATAACTAAAAAAACGCTAAAAATTATCCAACTCGCATTGCAGTTTTTCCCTGACACCGCCTACAATCCGATTTCCAATCAACCTCAAGCGTATCCTGAAGGTCCCGTGGACCGAACTAGCGCGCAGCAAATTCTGACGCAGCGCATTGCGCAGCAACAAAAACGCGCGGCCGCGCAGGGCCCGGAGAAGTTTCGCGTGGACGCCGCATCGTGGCGCTACCTGCACCAGCCTTACTTCTGCGGTTACGATTTCCCGGGAACGGTCCCGCAGGGTGCCAGGGTCGCGCACCCCGACCAAGGCAAAATCGGTCACCAGAAGAGCGCGGAGAGTGTGCTGCAGCCGAGCAGACGAGACGCACAGGAGATTTACGCGGAGATCCGTCAGCCAAATGAGGTTAGTCGCGCAAAACAAAATATATTTGGGAATATCGATCCAAGAAATGTCATTTTTATTATTACTTAAAAAATAACGAGTTTTTGATAAATAACATAGAAATAACCTTCATAGCAAACGCAATACTAACAAGTTCATTAAGTTACCACTAAGATTCATTGATGATCTTTCAGAATTAAACAAAAAAAATTAATAGTTTGCTTCTTATTATTATCCCATAAGCATTCTTGTACATTGATTGATTAATTGCAAGGGTGTGTCCCCGTGTCCAAAATATTTTTTTACAAACCTTCCTTTTGAAGAATCTGATTTATGTAATTTTTCCAAAAAACTGTTAAACTTCTATATATACTATAATATACTTCTGTACTCCTATAAGTAAACTTCAAAAAAACAGATATCCCACAAGACCCATGGTTTGATTTATATATTCTCCTTATAAACATCTAAGATACTAAACAAGTAGATGTGTTATTTTGATTTGATTCCAACTCTGCAATTCATTTAAGAAAACATGATCATAGCTTCAATCAAGATTTTCAAATGTTAAATTTTCAAAGTAAGGAGTACAAATTAAGCTTAAGCTTTGAAAATTAACAATCATCAGTTCGATCTTAATAACACCCCATTGAACTTATTTTGAGCAGAATTTTTTAGCGTTGTGAAAATTGGAACTTATATTGTTTTTTTTAATTCTGTTAATTATTTAGCAAGAATTTATAAATTACCTAGACCTAATGGTTATTGATTTTGTGTATATATAGAGAAATTGTGCAACTTAGAAAAAATTGTAGTGTTAATGAAACATTTCACTCTACTAGTAAACAGTTTGTTTTCCAAAAAAAAAACTTTATAAAAGAAAGTATTGTCTAGCCTAAAGACCCATATTTATTTTATTTAGGTACAACTGCGTCAAAAATCGCGGGCTGGTCCCCAGGTGCCCCTGTTTAAAAAAATGGGGCAGATGGGTCGCAGGGCCAGCGAAGGAAGCACGTTGTTGTCCAGCACGGAATACCATGGCGCCCAGTCTCTAGCCTCGTCGGACGGCGGCTTTTCGGATCGTTACTATATTAACGACATGAAGGCGATGTACAAACCAAATTATTTACCGTCCGGTAACGATTCTACCCCGGGTCAGGACGGTAGTGGCACCATGTTGAACGCGAACTGCAGATTGAGCATGGACGTTGAGCGTAGGGAGAGCACGAGCAGTTTGTCCTCTTCGATTGCGGATAGTAAGTAGCCCCCGAAACTGTTTCAGGAGGAATCCAGAAGTTTTGTAAAAAGCATTACATTAGCCTGTGGAAGTTTCTTTGAAAAATTAATACTACCACTATTTTGTTTTCGCACATTTAATATTTTTTTTTTACATTTGTTTATTTGAGGAAAAATGGACTCAAAGGTTTGGTATGAAATGCATATTTGGTAGATTTTTTAGCTGGGAAGAATAATGACAGAGGTGGTGCCAAGTTGCCAAATCTTGCCAATTGTTTATTAAGCTCAAATATGGAAAAATTCACATTTATGGGTGTTATGTGGAGTGGTCATAGTCGTCCAGTTGGACTAATTTTTTTTAAATCAAAAATTCCATAAATGGCCCATCTCTCGAATTGGAGTTGTAAACTCAAGAGACAAGTACCACCTTGTCCTCTTTCACGCCAGTTTACTATAAAAATCCTTTTTTTATATAAAAAGCACGTCAATACGTATATGTTTCGTGCACTCAATTGATCATCTTCTGTTAACACCTAAAATGACATATTTAGGATCGAAGCGGTAAGCCAGAGTTCTGTGCGGAAATTGTAAACTAATATAAAATCAAAAAAAAAAAAAATGCAAAAGAGGTTGCATCGTCTTCAACTAGAAACCAAATAATTAGATAATGGTATGTACACTTATCTAGGTTAACACTTGAAATGTTAAATATTTGGAGCAGATTGTGCTAGAGAGTGCTATAGTGATAAAATAACAAAAATTACATGTTTAGCCATTTATCTAAATCTCAATCGAGACTGTGGTTAATGAAAGGATATACTATATATAATAAGTGCCACGAATAGCTTCAGAAGTCCAAGCAGTAGAAGTATAATCTAGTTTATTGGCTAGCTTTTTTAACAATAAATATAAATTATAAAAAAATACAACAAAAAATTAAATGGATGAACAGGGAAAGGGTATAAACTCCGTATACAAAAAAACACTTCACCGGTAGACATTAAAACAAACTGTGAGCATTTATATATCAATGTTTATGTTGAATTCCTCAAAACTATAAAAACAATTTTAATGCCTTTTTTACATCTTTCAACTCTTATTTCCTTTACCCGGGTTGGGATTTTGTAAATTTCAATTCAATGTATTAACATTCTCATATCGAAAGTTATGCTGTGGTTGAGAAGTTATCTCATGGCATCATTGTGGTTTAAAAAAAAAAGAGATTAATTTATGAAAACGCATCGTTCTGATGGTGTACTACCCCTTATAAAGTTAAAAATCATTAAACCAAAAATATTTACCCTAACCAATTGTCAGAAATACGTGTTGAGGATGTAGTAGCGGACGCAATAACAATACAAAGAGGAGTCCGAAAAGGTTGCGTTTTATCTCCACAACCCTTCCCATTACTCTAAATTTGTATTTTGGCTAGCACTTCTAACAGGGAATTGGAATATTTGGGAGACCTTAATTAATAATCTACGTATGGGACACCTGAGCAACGACACATATTGTTTGCCACAGACCACAGTGCAAGAAAGAATAGGAGACAGAAGTTGTATCGTCAGAAAGAAAAAATCCGCCCGTAAGATAATGAACGTGAACGGCCAAAAAGAACGTGAAGGTCGAACCAGAAATATGGAAAAAAGAAGAAACGTTTTTTATTCCCTTCAAATTAGTTTACGGTTTCTGCTCAGTATGGCGTGCTGCTTTTTTTTATATACCACTTTGGTAATTCTGATCCCGATATCTTCTCGTATCGTGTCCGATACTGGTAGTAGCTGGCAATCGCCCACGTCTCAAAGACACTCATTTTTTGGATGGTGTTTCTGTTAGCGTTCACGCTTCCTTACTATATAAAATCACTGAAAATACGTAGCACTTGGCGTATCCTCTTTCTGAGTTTGTTGTTAAAGCTGCAATTCCCTAGAAATTATTTCATTTCTTAAAGATTTGTTCAGTGCGATAATTAACGTCATTGCCTTGACTGCTATCGGTGACTGGACCCTTATTGATTGTTCGATGGATGATATTCATTGCTACTAGACCTTCTAGTGTTTTTGCTATTAAGTTATTCCGCGTTTCGGATATTGTTGATGAGAATTCCATTTATGCCCCCAAATTTGCTTAAAAATATGCTAATCCTAAATAATAGAACTCAGATAGTAACAATCAGCGGTTGGACTATTAATCATACCTCAGAATGTAGAGCTGTTTCAAATGTTATCCCACTTTTCGCTGATACTGCTGTTGCTGTTTCTTATAGCAACAATTTTGAAGTATTAAGTAGTAGTTGAAACGGTAACATTGTTAGGGTAGAAGCTTACTACCATTAACCTAATGAAGTCCAATAGAACAGAGTTACTAATGTTTTCTTGTAGGGATATAAATAAGGCTTTTAGTGAGCCTAGGTATTTATTCTGATTCTCACCTATCCTGGATCAATCAAATAAGTTTATATTAAAAAAAAACTTTCTACGTACTGCTACGTCAATGTGGCAAAGTATATAATTTACAAAATTGAATCCTTTGAACATTTTTTTCTAAACTTCGTTATTTCGCCTGCATATGGGGTTGTTTTATTTCTCTTAAAAAAACTGTCCGCGCTTTAAGCCACTCGTCGCGTTTTAGGCAGCAAGGAGAGCCTCGCTTCGTTCGGCTCCAACTCCACCCTGACCGGCCACGAGATGGACGACTCCGTGATAATGTCCCGTTTCCGGCAGAGCGTGAAACAAAAGGAGGAGTTTCTGCGCACGCCCGGTCGTCCCGCGCAGCACGCGCTCATCCGTCGTGAGTTCTACGGACGTCCGAAAAAGCTCGAACGGGCGGTCTGGCCGCCCCCCAACGAGGCGGCCGCGCAGCAACGCTCTCCCAAACCGACCAATCAGAACTTTGCGCGCGTCAAGAACGACATCGACGGGGAGAGGGAGTGCGTCGGAGCGCAACTAAACGGTCAGGCGGGGGGCGTGGCTGCGGTAGCCGCCCCCAACACGTCTGCCCACTCTCCCAAGGAGTGGATGACTGCCACCACGGCGACTGAAATGGCGAGAGAAGCGTCGTTGCCTCCGGATTTCGAAGCCGTCGATGATAAAAGGCATGCGTTATTATTATTATTATTATTATTATTTTGAAGTCGACCCTTACTTTTCTCACTATCTTTCTTTCCTTTCGCAGGACCGTAGTCAATTACATTCTGGCGTACTTATTTCCAACGTGAGTTTGCTAGTAACGACGTGAAATGTTCAGTGTTTTTTTCGCGTTTTTTTTTTTTTTTTTCGCTTCATTTTATCAGAGAATGTTCGGCTAGAGATTAAATGGATATTTTATATTGTACTTTAGAAATATGTAATGCTTGAGTCGTTTTTGAGTTGCGGTTGTTCAATAATATCAGAATTCCTTAAATTTTTGTATTTTATTCAACGTTTTGATCGCAATGTTGATCTTTATCAAGAATCTTATCTTACTATTTTATTATTATTTATATTTTATTTTGTTTTATTTTTATCAATATTGTAATATAGGAATAAGCACAAACAATAAAATAATTGATATATTTTTTTACTTTGATGTTTATTTTTATAAAAAGTATAGTAATATAATAAACATAAGCATCAAAGTAAAAATGTTCATAATGTTCGTTGAAAATAGCACTAAAATTCTTGATAAAGATCCACATTGTGATCGAAACGTTGAATAAAACACAGAACTTTAAAGAATTTTGATATGAGCACTAAGTAGATATTTCAAATTTGAAAAATAAAGGGAAACTAAAATATTGTATTGTACAGGATGTTTGTATTTTCGTGAACACTCTATATATATTTAGGCAATTTTGAATTTTTCGGAACTTTTAGAAATATTTCGTGTACAATCTGAATCTTATCTTTCTTGACTAGTTTAAATATATCTATTTTTTCGGTTGAAGTTGTTTTTTTAATAGAGCTAAATATTAGTGGCTTGTTTTGAAATTTTAAAAATGAATCTATGAAAATGTTAAGTCTTTTTTTTTAATTATTCCTTTAACACTGTTTTTTTGTCTCAACTTTGTTTTTCCTCCACGGTTCGCCGTTATCTTGGACAATTGTTGCCCTCATAGTATTTTTACAGTGTTTATCATTTATAACTTTTTTTTTTAATTTTTACTATAGTTAGTTAATTGTTCACGAAAATACAAACGCACTGTGTACATAACAGTATACTACTTTGCTAGTATAAGTAAATCTAAACAACTTGGTTTTTAATATTTTTGACAGGTTCTGAGGTAAAATGTCATTCCACAATAAACGGTCCACCCTATACAAAAGTTTAAATCAAATTAATTTGTTTCCTTTCAAAAGTCTATCGAGTGGAAAACATTTTAGGCATTGAACGTGATCGATTTAATAAAGCAGCAACATTGGAAAAAAAAGATACGGTTGTAGGCAATTAGTAGTTCAAATGCCTCTGAACCAAATTTTATACCACGTCTTGCTGTTCTGCGTGTCTTGTGTATTTTGGGTTTTCTTATTTCTTCGTTCTCATGCTCTTGTTCTTAACTCATTGCTTGTTTTGCCTTGGTTAACGATTTTTTTGTTTTAGTTTCATTCTTTTATTTTTGCAATTGTTCATGTCTAATTATTGCTGGTCGGATTTTTGCTTTATTTTTTAAACCGTTATTTATTTCTTTTGTTTCCTTTGGACTTATCTCTCGCTTCACTGCTATATTGATTTTTTTCCTTTTGATTTTTTGCTTATCGGTTTTATCAGAGTAAACGATGCGGAAAACTGACGAGCAAGGACCCAAAAAAAAGCAGTTCCGTTTCATTTTAAATTCTTTCCCAATTTAATCTTTTCTAAGATTTCTGGCGGTTGATTCTAAGGACCTTCAAAATTTTGTTACATTTTTTACTTATCTTTCAATTCACTTACATATTGTCTTTTTTTCTGTCGCTTTTTTTTTCTTCTCGGTTTTATCATAATAAACGACAAGAAAAACTGTCGACCGAAAAAAAGCAGCGTCTTGCCATTTTAAATTCTTTCTTTTGCGGTTTATTCTATGGACCTTAAAAAGATGATACATTTTTCAGATTCTTTCAATTGTATTTATTTATTAAAAGTCAACCGGACACTAGACGTTTCAATTAATTTTAAACAGCAAAATAAAATCACGCATAAAAAAAGCAGTTTTTGCAAATTTTAATGTCAAAATTAAAAAAAAATCATTTTTTTTTGTTTTCGCAAACAAATGTGCCGATTTTCTAAAAAAACGAACAACTAGTTTATTTTTCACGTTTCTGCAACTTACTTTTTCTTAATACCCCATAATTTAAGAAATAGGAATCATATTTCTTAGAGAGACTAGACTAGATACTTTAATAAAGTGTTTAAATTAATCTTAAACAATCGATTTCAAGTGCACCTATAGAAATCGTCGAAGTTGAATCAAGGCTAGTATGGTTTTTGCTTTTTAACGCTAAATAAAGTTTAGTTGATTTTATTACAATTCAGAGATGTATAGAAAAATAATAAATCTGTTAATTCATGATAAATTCTCGCATATGATTGGAACTTTAATGGTGACACTATATATTAAACTATCAAAACGACTCTTATCTACTAAGGTAAAACACCCCATTAGTGGTACGTAATTTGTATTGCTTTTTTCAGTTGTTGGTATAATTCTATAGTTATTTGAATTTTAAATATCCTTGTTATTGGCATTGAGTTCTGGTGATTAATAGTAGAAAAAATGCTGGAGTTGCCATAATAACTGCAAAATTTTAATGTTTTAATTTAATAGATGAGTGTGTTTAATTAAATGACTCAGGTACAAAATTATACTGACAACTTACAATATAAAAATAAGCAAGTAAGACAACATAAAATATTTTTCATATTAAGCGCATGTAGTACTTCGTAGGTACTTTTTTTTTCAATAGCATTGTGAAGCGTCTATTCGTCGTATGACTTTATGTATTTATAATTGTGTTTAACTTTTCGAATTATTTGCTCAGATTTTCTGCAAAAAGAATAAAACTTTAAATGGAATAACGATTAAAAAAAAATTTTATATCACTGGTATGGATTGTATTTAATGTTAACCAGTTACTGGCAAAGGTACTAATAATGGGTTTGTAATAAAATTTAATAAGTTATATTGAAAATTCAATTCTAATAAACAAATTAAGTTACGAAAGTTACTTATGATGACTGCAAACATTTGTAAACGTTCCAACTTGCACTTGATAACTTTGGCTATAATATGTAAGGTTTATTTAAAACTGTGTCTTGAAATCTGCACAAAAAATGGTTTTTAGATATTGGATGCCAATAACTGGGTAAGCGCTAACTATTGGGTGTTTTGCCCTACGTGTTCCATTATTATGTCTTCAACCTCTCAGCAAATCGTTCGGGGTACACATGTTGGTCACTGTTACCTCAAAATTTACAGTCGCAGTTCGGTTCGTTAAATTTTACTCCTTTGCAGGATGTACCCCAATCTCCAAGTGGTGCACAAACGCGCGAAAGAGTTCGAAACCGGTTCCGATGATAACCGGACCGATTTTTCGCGCAGCGAACTCGCTCGGCTGAGTTCGAAGAAACTCGTGCCGAACGTGTGCGAGCGCGCGCACGAATATGAGACCAAAGCCATCACCGACGTCACCAAGAGGGACGCCGCTACTCCGGCGTCGACGGTGCCGATAAGGAAAATCCAGAAGGACAGCAGATCGCTGGACAGCTCAGGTACGGCGTCTCGTTCGAAATCATCTAATTTTTTTTATTTGCGCATGCGCAAATCGACAGTTTTTCCGACAGGTGCCTACCGGATTATACCCGAAGCGAAGTTATTTTTTAAAATAATTTGCGCATGGAAAATTGCAAATGTGCGAAAAATTGCAATAAAGACCTGCAAATAGGACGGACTTTAAATTTTATTGTTTTATCAAAGCTGCGAACACAAAAACATAATAGAAAAATTAGCTTTGGTTGAATTCGTTTTTCCTTACTTTTATTTTAACACACGATATCTCGACACCGATATATTCTTTAAACAATTTTTTTAATGAAAAATCTTAATATAAGCGTCAACAAGATCTGTTAATTGTCTGTATTAAAAAAAATTACTGTTGAGCTTTAACGTTAAAAGTTATTAATTTTTTTTTTTTCAATTTCTCGAAAAGAAATAAATTACTTCTTATTATATGCAGTGGGCCGACACAATCTAACAAACGGTTATTTATACAAGGTGTTTCAAAACAAATGCGAAAAATTTAAGTTTGATTTCTTGTTTCAAATAAAAGGTAGTGTGTTGTATAAACCTTGGGTCAAAAGTCAACTGTTAAGGAGATATCGCGATATAAATATATCGGAAAAATAATGTATAAGTAATAAAAAATTATTTAAAAAAAATAGTTTGGTGCTGTACCAACATTTATCAATTCTCTTCTAAACAATTACATTTTTAAAATTAATTGATTGATTAACATTTCTGAAACTAATCATCATCATCAATTCATATATAAAACATATATCTACCATTTCAGCATGTGTGTAATTCATCATAATTTAATTAAATGTTGAACAACTAAATGATTAGCTTATTAATTTTTGATTACATTAGTCGTGTTTTGTATTCACAATTAACGGTAAAGTTATAAAAAAAAATACTGGGGAAAAAAGTTTCTAAATGAATAACACAATAAAACAAAACACAAAAAGGGTGTTTTGATAATAGTTTGTACTATTTCCCTTTTTTAATATGAAAAATAAAAACCTTGTTTTTTCGTCATATTTGTTAAGCGATATCTCTCTAATAGTTTTTTTATATAACATACTCCCCTTAATTTTAAACAAAGAGACACGGATTTAAGATTTTCGCATTTGTTTTGAAACACCCTGTATATGTTTAAATAATTTTCCATGTCTACGGAGTAAGTATTGACAGTAATTCCATTTGGCTAGTATAACAAAACTTTGAGAAGTTACAAAGAAAAAGGAAAATCATTTATTTTTTCAAAATCTTATTTTAACCCGAACCATTTCTAGATATTGTCCATTTTCAGAAAACATAATAAGAAATCTTTAAAGAAGATAACCGTGTAAGTTAAGAATTCGAAAATTAAGAATTCGTACCGTAAAAGATTAAAACAAAAAACGAATACTTTTTTACATCCATCATAAACAATGAATGAAAACTAATAACTTTTTATATATTTTCGTGAATATTTAATATTTACTATACTTTTCTAATACATCTGTACTTTATGTGTCAAATTTATGTGTTTCTCTCACCCTTTTTTCCAAACCTCAACAGTCAATATCTTTGATAATAAAAATTTAGAAGACTTGTATGGACTTTTTTCATAAGGATTGGTTTCTTATCAATTTTAACAAGTTGTTTCAGAACGAGATGCTGATTCCTAACAGTGAGAATCATTACTTGGTTTAAAAAGAACTTTTTTTATCACAACAATTTTTTACCAGCCGCGTACGGAACGTGGACCTGATATGAAAAGGTATATAAAAGTTACATGTTAAGTAAAAAAGAAGTAAAGTTGTAACAAAAAAAAATCTGTAAACTTTCGTGCTTCTCAGGACCCCATCCATCTTATTCTGAAACATACGTGCTGTGGATTATTATTTCCACATAACCCAAAAATATAACTACTGATAATTTAAATTTTAAAAAAATCCATAAGAGTTTTGATAAGAATTCTCAATTGGGACACTTTATTCATACAAGTCTTAAGATCCTAAAGAAGTTTAATTTATCTGTGTAAACCACACCATGCCCAAAAGGTAGCAACACTAGCGCTAGCAGCATCAACGAACTGCTCTTCTCTGGTTTGGGAAATCGCGGACTCTCCGGCAACGTCATCATTTCTACCGGAAGTAAGTTTATCCATTGTCCTCCTCCGGTCCAGGAATCGTCCGTTAGACCAACAGGTTAGGGACAATCTCATCGCTGTAACTACAGCTAGTGTGGATGCTATTAAAACGTGTGGTTTATGACTGCTTTGCGATCGTTGTTGCGTGTCTCGCTAGAACTAACCCTACCCACGATCGGTGTAACCGTGAGCGTTTTGTTTTATTAGTCGTAGTAAAATCTCGCTGGTTGACTTTTCGAACGTTCTCTTGTCTAGGTTTCGACGCGAAGTACAACAATTTAATTGCAGAAAAATTAAGTTATTGGTTCGCACTTCGCACTGTCCATTTTTAATTTAAAAAACTTTTAGTTAAGCAAAGTCAGTTAACAATAAAGAGATTATGTCTTTTTCTTCTCCGAGGGTTATTCTAAATTATTGAATTTGCGGATTTTCAAAAATAACTGTTATATGATTTTTAGCTTCAAATATTGGAGATCAATTTGTCAAAAGCGGAAAAAATATTATTGCTACAGGGGACAATACTTGCCCCTCTATTAAATGACGCGTATATTTTGCGTGAATTTCGCTGTGCAGACGCTAGTAATTGTTGTTCGGAGTGAAACATGAAATTGTAATAAAAAATGGTTGAAGTTGCAGTCATTGAATATTGAGAAGGCAGAATTTCTCACATTTGTTCATACTTTCAGAACTCTTCGACGTCTTAATATTCATTCCTAATTGTGTATATAGTATTTATATTTACAGGGTGTTCCGTTTATCTAGGGTACCAGCTTTTTTATTGGAAATAGAACATATTTAATTTTTTTTTACATTTACCTTAAATTTTTTATTGATTCCTTCTGGAAAGAGGTCCAGTATCATATTCTGAGTGGATATTTTGGATTAATTCAAGGTCAGCAAAAATTAAGTACAAAAATTAAATGGTAAAAAGCATAAAAACTAATTTTTTTTAAACGGAAGACCCTCTATTTTTTATCATCTTAAATTTAATTTAATTTAAATCTAAAAATTAAGATGACTTTGTATAAGCTTACCTATTCCGAAAATTTATAGTTTCCAAAATGCTATAATACGGGTGTTAAGTTTTGTTATTAGTTGGCCGTGATACTGGAGCTCTAAAAAATTGAATTAGGAACGAAATTCAATTTCTAAAGTGAACTGGTGGTGTAGGGGACGCAGTTAGAGAATTATACACAATATACACAACTTCTATCCCTGAAGATAGCGGTGATATCTAACATTTACTTTAAGTTTTTAGAATTTTATTTATTTATTCTTAAATGTGTAATGTAAATATAATAGTTACATATGTTATGTAATTTATAATCCTATTTGTATCAGTTAAACTTCTTATATTCTAAAACACCATACTCCCTCAAATCAAGTTGAAAATCAAATAATAAATTAATGACTGAGAACTCTTGTCAAACTGATATAAAAACATGTGGTCTTTAGAAAGTGACTACTTTTCGCTCGCATGGCCAACTAGTAATAAAACTTAACAGTCATGTTATAGCGTTATTACAATAGGAAAATATCGCACTATGAATGATTTCCGAAACTATAAATTTAAAAAATAGAGATCCTTGTAGAAACTCACCTCAATTTTTAATGCTAAATCGGATAACATTATACGAAAATTACTTTTAATGTTGTGCTTTATTTTATATCAAAATAAAATAACTGATGCTCCCTTATAGGAAACATTAAGTGTTTTAGGACCAGATGCATACGATTTATCAAAAATAAGTCATAGGCTGGGAAGGTTTTCGAAACGTTTAACTCTATGTTTTTTTTTGTAAAACGTAATCCATATTCTTAATTAGTTTAGGGTTCACGAATTCAGTTATTGATAGTAAAAACTCTCAAATATATTACCACTTTTTGAGATTTGTAGTAAAGAAATCCCGTGCGTGTTTTTAAGTTCCATTTTTTTGAATAAAAAATATGTAGATTTTTTGATAAACGCATCGGTTGTTTTATTTATTGTTTTTCTGGTACTAATATTTACACAAAGTTTTATTGATATTTGCCCGCACGAACGGTTTCATTTAAAAGGCAACTAAAATTCGTTTACCATTCTTACAGATTTATTGAACAGCGAACCCGTCCCGTTCAGGCCTCGGTCCAATTCCGCCGAATCGTGGATAGGGACTCTCAAAGACACCAACACCTCCAAAGGTAACGCGCCATTAGTTTCCCACTTTATACTTACACAAACTATACGGCTTCGTTCCTAAACGGAATTCCAGATAGCCGACCAAGCGAAACTATCCCCCAGCCCCCACCCCTGCCGCCTTCCTCTCCCCTGATCCCGGAACCCGTCGTGGAAATTCAGTTGGCCGTGCCGACAGTGTCGATTACTCCAGCCCCTCCCGTCAGGCCCACGCAGCTCGACCTGGACCTGGACAGACCTCGGAGGCCCGTCAGGACCCATCATCCCAAATCCGTTCGCGATCCCAATCGGTTATCGGTGGTGATTCCCAGTGAGTCTTGAGTTTTCAGTGTGCCAACTTTTACTTTTTAATTTTTTTTTGAATTTTTTTTTTTTGCTTCCGCTAACGACTCAGTTTTGGATGTTTTTATTTTTCCCTCGCCGGCTAATTTGTCTCGTTTGTTTGAGAAGAAAATCGTTGATTCATTTTAAATTTGGAATTTTAACCGCTATGATAAACATTTTTGGCCCAGATTTATTGGTTGATCTGAGGTTTTTGACAATATATAAAATGCTATTGGTGAATTTTGGTTCAACAACCAATGGCCAATTGATGAATATGGCATTAAATAGCACTTTTTCCTGCTAGTGTTAGTCAGTGCAACTATGGGTCTCAATTCGAAGCTATAGTTCCTTCAAACTAAGCAATGGGTGACACATTCCACCACCTGCAAGAAAATTACAATTTCTGTTTCTGAACGGTGTAGAGCAATAACAAATATGTTTTATTGCTAACGGTGATACAACGAAACACGAAATAAAATAACGTCAAACACAATTTATAAATTTTTACAAAGGTCGCTTAAGCTATATAATTCCACTATTCTACTATTAACCTGTTATTTTAGTGCTGAATATAAATCGTTTCTGCGAACTAATATTTTTTAAACTTACTGGGAGAGTATTAGGCAATTCTGTGCACCTTAGATCTTGTTTCTGTAAAAAAATAGGTCCTATAGTAACCACACACTTACGAGTCTGGTCGTTCTTTACCACAAATCAAAATTTCTTAAAAACAATGTTAGAAGCACACTTACCACGTGTCCGTTTGCAGCAGAAATTTATAGCATATCATGCATATGCGGAATACATTGCAGAGAGCGAAGAAAAAAATATCAATAAGGCTAAAAGAACATCAAAGTACTTTAAAACTACGACAAAACAACTCAGCAGCAGTTGCCGAACATCATCATGGAACCGGCCATCAAATCTTGTTCCACTAAACTAAAATTCTTGCATGTTATCCATTTTTCTGCCCAAGAAATCTATTGAAATTTCTAAACAAAACACTTAAGCACGACTCACATCTTTATCTTTCATCAATGTGGAATTCAGTCCTTCCTTCCTCTGCCCCCCTTAAAAAGTAATATAAGCAGGTTCACTTTCATTGTTTTGTATTGATTTTTTATCGAGGGCATCACCTGTATTTGGGGCAGTTTATGGGTTTTGTCGTTTGCCTAAGTTACAACAGGCTCCTTGCTTGTTATGAGGTTATGCTTTTTCTATGTTCATCGTTTGGCTGGTTTAGCTGTCTTTAGAGATCTTCCTTTTACTCAATAATGGCATCGGCATAGCACTCGATAATTTCTGCCCATTAAAAGATTAAACAGAAATTTGCCAAGGCTGCCCCCCTGTTTGATGCCCCCTGGTATATTTTTTGTATAATTATCTCTGTTCTTTACTTTAGTTGCTTTATTCTCATTGAGACTGCCGACAACTCTTGCAACTGTATCTGGCGATTCTTTCTCTATCGTTATGCCTATAATGTCGGAATACTTTGATGTATTGAATTTTTCGTTTCTTTGATGATGAATATGGCGTAATTCGTTGATCTATTTCACCTAAAGTCATGTGTGTTTAGAATTTCATATTTGCATTCAAGGGCGTAATGTCCCGATAATTGTCTGGGTTTGTTTTCAATACTATCTTGAATGTTGTGCTTTTGTGCCATTCTGTAGGTATTTCCGATGTTTCTAAAATTTTGTTTTATGTATGTAGCCTTTTCGCTCAGGTCTGGTATATTTCAAAAGTTTGTTTGGAACATGGTCTGTTGCGTGTGCTTTGCTGTTTTTTATTTTTTTGATTTTTGACATTAGCTCTTCGTCGTTGAGTGTTACTCCTTGATTCGCCTTATAAGTTTTGGTTAGTTTTCTCCAGACATCTTTGACAACTTGACAAATAAGTCAATAAAAATACAAGGAAAATATCTTAACGTTTTCAAGAAGAAGCTGAAAATATGATGCTTAATCGCAACGCATTAACATATATAAGAATATACAGGCGGTGAATTTGTCGCCGTATATCGACTCAACGACTTTTTCCTTTCGATTTGTTCCCGTCCACATTTTCACATGGCCATTGCGTCTGATTTCTGCTTTAACACTAACGGTGCCCGACTAACACTCGGCTAATTTCTTGCAGCTAACCAAGACGACAGACCTGTCGTGGTTAAACGAAGAATTAAAAATACTAACCTAGGTGAGTAAAAATTTTGCAAGCGACGTTCCGAAGTTTATGCGTCATTTGTTTTTCGGCCATTTTCAGCCGACGACGACAGGGTCGTGCGGCGGGAGTCGTACCTGAAAGCGACCGAGGGCGGTCGTATGCACATAGACAGTGATTTCAGCGAAGAGAGCGAAATCTCACCCCAAGCACTCCGAAGGTAAGAGTTCTGTGTTGCAATTCCCACCTCTCAGCTTGACTCTCCATACGCTGATAAAAACGCCTATCTCGCTCCCCCTTGTTCTTCTGGACTCCTCTGTCGCCTGCTACTTACACGATAGGGTTTGTTCGCGCGAGGGAAGGGAGAGGATATAGTTGCCGCTATACCGGGTGTTGCGAATCGCGGCTGCCAAATTTCGACGGACATTAATGTCGCGTCTGCAGTTATTTTGTTTTCGATCAGATCCCTGAGTTAATGAATCGTATCAAATTGTTTCCTAATTTGGTTGCCGTTGAAAAGAAGTTAAATAAATAAATAAGGAAATCTAAATTTCTCTTCATTTTTTTATATTTATTTTTTATTCTTATTATTCATTTATTATATAAATGAATATTGCCTTTTCTTTTTTTTTTCCTTTTTCTATTTTCGATTTCTATTATTATTAAAGAATTTATTTTAATTTTCCTATTATCATTACTTATTTGTTTATTCCATAATAATAACTTAACATATAATTGCATAATATAGCACAACACATCCAAAAGTTCGCAGCACTGATACTAGTTTCACGCTGACTGTTAATGAATTTATGAATTTCTTCATGAAGTTCGCGACGAAACATACTGGCTTTGCCATGGCAACACGCTTAGTCAATTTATCTGGTTAGTTTATTCGTAATAGTTCCTTATTTAGTAAGTCCCAATTTTTTGTACAGCCAAATAAAGATTATACAAGAATTAGGCAAATATCGTTGCTGCTGATCATGTTTTGGTGTTTTGGTGGTTTTTCTAGAGAAGAAAAATAAAGCGGAAAAAAATTGGTTAAACAAGAGGGTAAACAATTTTTAAGGATGTCAAAAGAAAAGTTTAAAAGCCCCAAACTATGACGGTGCTTTGTAATGATAACTTTACTTTTTGGTTTATTCAAACAGTTTTCATCATTACAAATTCGAAAAATGTTGGAACAATTTCTATTTGGTGGATAAATTTATGAAGAACTTCGCGAATTTCTTTGAATAGTGTTTTACACATATCAAATTTATTTGATTACTCTTATTTACAAATCTACACGCTCCGGTTGTTCAGGAATCGAACTTCTTCAGAGCTTAATTGAAACTAGCTTGCATTAAACAGTGCAGCTGCTTATATACTTGAGAAGAACGGAGGATGATTGGCGAGACTTCGGCAAGTTCGATTCATCAACAATTGACTAGGAGATTTGTAAATAGTAAAACTGTCGAACTGTGCAAATAATAGATTATCCGCGATTAAAAGGTCTATTCCCCTTCACTAATTTTTGAGAGATTGGTAATCGCGATTCGAGGCAGCTGCGTATAGAGGAAGAGATCGTCGAAGTTTTTGGAGTAGCGGGTTGTCGTTTTTTCCGTCCTCCTATTTTCTGTCTGTCTGTCTGTAGCGCGCATAGGAAGTGGCGCCCTCCCTTGTTTCCCGGGGACATTCAGCAGCTGCGCAAAATGTTCGAGGAGGCCGCTTCCTCTTACGGGTGAGCAGAGAATACGAAAGAGTTAGAATGCGCGACTAACACCGTTTGCTTATTTATTGTCGGCTCATTCATGCCGACTGTCTTAGTCTTCTAACCAAAACTAACGGGACGGTCGATTTGAGTAGATACTAACGTCGAGTTAAAATAGAAATAGAATAATGGATGCTGTATTATTAGAGCAACTCGCGTCACTGATAAAAGTGACTGATTTTTTGTGGTGATATTTAAATTTATGATGGTCATATGAATTGATGAGAAAAACTATTGTTTGGAAAGAATTTTTTTTTCTTTTTGGTTTTAAATTCCACACGATGCACATTAGCCTATCTACTTAGGGTTCAAGAAAAAACTATGCCTGCATAAATGAGTGACTTCGTATTCAAGAACAGAATTATCCGGATACACAGTTTGGTTGTCTGGAACTGTCACAGCATTAACTAAAATAACTGATGACTTGGTTTGTCAGACTGATCGACATAAACTGTTTTGTCTTATTGTGCACGATTACAGCAAAACTTTTGATATTGTTGATACTAAAATAATGTTTTTTTTTTCGAAATGTTCACCAAATTAATTCAGTCTTACTTTGACAACAAGGATAGCACCCTTTCTGTGACGCAGGGCGTATCCTACTCTTGGGACCTCTCCTCTTACCATACATCTCTGACTTTCCTTGTATTTTGGAACTTATATAATTATGCTGTCGATTCTCTTTACTCTTACTCTTTTCGTGAAAATGACATATTTGATGTATTTTTAGCTCATAACTTTAAGCTTGATGCCAATATTGTAGGCCATATTATATATACAAAATCAGGTAGACTATGTCAAGAATCATCTAAGATCTAAAAAAACTTTAAGACTGAAACAAAAAATCTAGAGCTATGGTAGGATTCTAACCTACGATTCACAATTGGTTCTATCATTAGTTCTATAGATTGCTAAATTATCTCAATGATGATTCAGTGTGTGGCGAACGATAGTGACCGACTGCAGAAAATTCAGAATGCTTATTTCAGATTTTCTTAAAATATTAAAAAATATGACATAATCAGTCACGTTATACGCAAACAAAAAGAATCTTACTTACAAAACATTAAAAACTAAGGGAGCTGTTGGGTTTATTTTGCGGTTCTGTAGAGCTTAAGGCCTCCTAACTGACTAAAGGGACTGTATATTGTTGTTTATTTTACTTTTCAATTACAAAAGAAACAGAGCTCAAAAATAATATGTTCTTCGACGCATGTCTCTCGTCTCTTATGCCCCGCACAAGTGAGATCAATCGGCAGCACTCAGTGAAACACAGTGAAATTCATGCGGAAGGAGTGGCTGCGGAACGGATGGCCTAACCACTTGGCGTTAAATCTATTTAGTAACTTAAGAAAATAAGTGCCCAACCTGAAAAAAAAAGTTCCTACTTTTAACTCGACATAAAAACTGCATTATCTGAAAGGTTTTTTTCATGTAAAGCTTTTAAATTGATCAACAAATTACTAGTAAATTTTTTAAACTTCTTCATTATAAAAAAAAATGTTAAAAAGATTTGTTTCTGATAATGCGAACGATTTTGCTTTATAATGATTATTAAAATGATTTGCAGCAGTAAAAACTTCTTCGTTCTCTAATATTTATCCACCACGCCAATTTTTAAGGTTAGGGAACAGTCGTTCCGATAAATGTGCATAGTGCACATCACTAATAAAGTTAATCCGTCCGTCCCAAAAAGCTAAAACTTTGTTAAGCTGAAAAAATTACCTTTGCATTGTTTGCAGTTAGTTCATCGGTTGCTGTTCATGGTTTAGACTGTTTTTTTTTTTCAAGAGTGTAGTGGTGAATCCATGTCTCATCCATAGTTATAAATCGACGGAAAAGTTCATCAGCATTACCTTATGCACAATATTTGCTTGTTTGATACTTCTGCAGTCTCCTATTTGATGGCGAAGAGCCTTTAAGTGTGTTGTTTGCGCTTTGAAACCTTTAAATCTTATAATTGAACGTTTTCAAAAATCTTCCATTTTTCTAGAAATGTCAGTAGTCAATGGTCGATATTATAGTACTAAAGAATGAATATAGAAAAATTTATATGGAAGCTCAACCTTGCGGGACTTATCGACCCACGCGCGCACGTCAACAGTACATGCTGATCGTTGATCCAAATATAAAAATACTTTTTCACTGAAGTCCGTTTACCACTAGCATCAGTACCTCATAACGCGAAAATAGCTAGGTATAAATAATATTTCTGGGCTAAATTTATCATTCGACTCAAAGTGGTCTTTCTTAAAATGTTGCTTCTAAAAACTTCTTAAGCCACTTGTATTCATTGCAAAATGATTGCGTTGTGTAGAGTACTGGTAATACTCCCGGGTTTATTCATCAAAAATGGTATGCCAAAGTCATCGCGGCTTGATGAAACTGTAGCTTAAACTCTTTCATTTTAAACGTCCTGTTCTGTTTTGCTTCATTTCTGCGCCCATATACATTCTATAGGATTTGGTTCGCAATAATATACTGTTTTCTCCAAGATGAAATTAACCGTGACTACCAATAAATCAGCCAGAAGCTGTTTTTTTTTATCATTTCAGCAAAATTGTGTTTAAGAACATTCGAATTTATGTCACGTTCACATTACCTGCTGTATGGCACAACTGGAAGATTAGCAAACTTTTTCAAAATCCCTCATCGCTTTCGATTTGAACGATTATTAGTCTCTTCCGTTTTCCTCAGGGTAAAATGATAGAACTTCCATGAAAGCTTAGCGAGTACTGCTTATATTTTTGTCTTTATTGGACGAAGTCGATATTAAGAATTTCTTATCGATGACAGTCCCTCAAACGAATCATCCCCTCAGTGATGTGCATATGGTCAGATATAACGGGATCACCGGTCCGAATCCACCATCTTGAATTCAACGGCTTGGCTCACTCGCTCGGGGCGAACGCCAAGCGATGCGTAAATTAATAATTGTTATTCGGCAACGCGCGTGCCGGCATATTTTCCCAATTTGGCGGGAAAAGTTTAGGTGTCCCGTCGAGCGTAAACGCTTCTTGCCAAACGCGCGATTGTGTCACTATCGCGGCCGTTAGGTAATGTTTTCGTGTTTTCTACGTTTGCCTTAGTCGGAAATCGCAAGATTCGTATAATAAAAATTGATAATAAGCGGTCGGTTAACTGCCGGGAAGCGACAGAATCCAGTAAGACAAGGAGAAATAATGTTGAAATGGTCATACTCCAATGTTTTTTTAGTATTTACGTTTAAAATATTTGAAAAGGAAATCTATGCAACATATGCAACATATAAATACGTTCACCATACATTCAGTTCCTTAAATTAAACTAAAAGAACAAGAATATATCCTGGATCTGGCCTTAATTCAATAGGCGTGAAACTTTAGATAACGTAATTCTAAAAATAAGTCTTGATAGAAACTTATTTGTTATTGTATTAGTATTGATATTTGCATTATTAATTCTAATGGGTGTAGATTTCTAAAATTGCGTTATCTAATGAAATAATTTTTGTTAATACTATGATAAGTTTGAGAAATAAAATTTTATCAAAATTTATTTCTCGATTTATGTTTGCTAATAAAATAATTTTATTAATTATACAATCTCTAATGCTATAATTTTGAAAACTAATTCGAGAATGATGTTATCTAATACAATAATTTTGTTAATACTGCAATGACTAATATTAATACTCTAATAAGTTATAAGTTTAAGAACTTATTTTTTATCAAGACTTTTTTCTAGAATCATGTTATTTAAATACAATAATTTTATTAATAATACAATGACTAATACTAACGCTATAATAAGTTTATGAAATACATTTTTATCAAGGCCTATTTCTAGAATTATGTTATCTGATGTTTCACGCCTATTGAATTAAGATCGAATACACAATCGTTTTTTTTTTATTTTCTTATAAGCTATTCGCAAGCTGCTGCACAGCTTATGATTTCGTTGGCCATTCTTGTCAGATTGTGTAAACCCTCTGTCTATATACTGTCGAGCCTTATGCTGCATTATATGTTGACATTGTAGCTGAGCTATAGTTGTCAGTGTTGTAGCCAAATATTGCAATCAAAATGTTGCCCGTTTAAAAGTACCTTTAAAGGTCGTTTTATTCGAATGTTTTACTCATGTGTTGTTACTCCCAAAAGCTTGGTCTTTGGGAAAAAACAGGGTGTTTTCTAATTGAATGTCAATAGTTAAGGGGGCGATTTTTGGGACCATTTTGAAAAGAAAATTTCATATCAACATATGTCGTAAACGTCTTAAGAGGGTGGTAAAGTTTTCAAAAATAAAATATATTTTTTTGATTTAGATATTATAATAAAATTTGGCACACATGTGCTACGTCTCAAGAGTCCAATGTACCAAATTTTTTTTTTATATACAACAGTGGCCGGCGTATGGAATTTCACCTGTCTATTTTGACAGACATTGATGGTGCGTTACTGATTTATCTTAAAATGAAAATTATTCTCCAATCATTTCTAAAGATATTTAATTTCTTGATTTTTTTCAAACCGATGTACGATTTTCGTTTAAAAAAATAAAAACCTCTTTACTGCATCGTCATAACAATATCATTAATATGACAGCATACAGAGAAATTAGTTTTTATTTTTATTATATATATTATAAAAGATCAAATCTGCTCATAAATGAATGCAAATGTAATTATTGTTTTAAGTGAATCAGTGGCGTACCACTGACTGTCTATCAACAAATAATATTTTGGTTAATTTGGTCGCCACTGCACTGGCTAACTTTTTTTATGAAAAATAAAATATCTATCTAAAACAAAATATCTAGTTTTTAATTACCAACCAGTGTATTTCAGAAAAAAAATAGAAGACTGGTCTTTTTACTTTTTCAGTTTTAATGACATAACATAACATCCTAACAACAAGATAAATGATAAAAGATTCTTATTTTAAAAAAGGCACTACCTACAATCAATAATTTTTGACAAAATTGGCTGTTGATAAAAAAGTAGAACATAGAAACTAGATAAGTTGTTGAAAGTGTCCTTCACTTTGAGTGATACACGTTTCAGCTCTTTTCCTCATATTACCGCGCATTCTTTGAAGTATACGATCCTTCAGCTCATCTACAGTGTTAACGGGGGTGCGACAAACCAGACTTTTAAGATGCCCCCATAAGAAACTATCCGAACTATTTAAATCTGGGGACCTATGGGCCATGGTTGAGGTCCGCCGCGACCTACCCATCGGTTATTAAATGTGTGATTTAAATATTCTCTTACTGCAACACTAAAGTGAACAGGCGCGCCGTCATGCATGAACTATATTCATAATGATAATAATTCTCTGCATGCTGTCATATTGGCGTTATTGTTATGACCATGCAAAAAAGAGGTTTTTATTTTTTTAAGTGAAAACCTTACATCGGATTGAAAAAAGTCAAGAAATTGAATTTCTTTAGAAATGATTGGAGAGTGTAAGGATAAAACCATCAGTGTATTTAAAAAAAAAAGTGGTACATTATATAATGCCTCTTAATACATAGTACATGTATGATGTGTGCCAAATTTCATTAAAATATCTAAAAATATCATTAGTTTTTGAAAACTTCCACCCTGTGTCTTAAAAGTTAAGACATTTAGAGCATATGTTCATATGAAGTTTTCTTTTTAAGTAGGACCCAAAAATCACCCCCATAATTATTGACATTCAATTAGGAAACACCCTGTATATCTGTATATTAGTCGCTGCCCCTTACTAGGAAAGGAAAAGATTTAGATATATATTTTAGGGAAATATTGTAATGAACATAGGAAATTAATAATAGATGTTTATTAATCAAAATAACACTTTAACAAATTACTCAGTAACAGTAAATATCTTTTTATAACACAATTGTGTTTTTTAGTTTCTGTTCTTTCTCTGTCCTTATTGCAGTCATCGACGACTTTCGCTTTAAACAAACTCAACTAAAATTAGTTTATTTAAGTTTTGTTGCCAGTTAGTTCCAAAATTATTTCCAAAGATTGAATAAGGTATAGTATATAAATATGGTTCGATGTCAGTTGAACCAGAACAAAGCTATTGTGGTTATTTCTGCGAATGTTTTTCGCCACCACTTTGCGTTTAACTTCTGTTCACCTTAACTTGGAAACATGAAACATGCATAGCAACAAGAACCACATTGAGAGTGCCAGCGCAAAAGCAAATAGAAACTGTATTGCGGATATTGCGTTTAATAAGAGACGAAAGACGTAACGGCATGCAGAAAAATCACCCCTTGTAAAACTAGGTTTAATCCCTAGAACTCGGAGACAGTGCGACCGCATGAAGTCCAAACCGTCTGGCCTCCCAGATCATCAACAAAAAGGGTTTCGGGTTGTTTGTGCAGGCGAATTCCACCAGTAATGGGCTCGTTTATCGCAAATGTCCGGAAATTGCGGCATTGAATATCTTCATATTTTAATGCCTTCCTTTTCCTCCGGATGGTTTTGTTTCTCTCTTAACAAGAGTACCGTGTTTTAGGATTTATTGAAATATCTCCGATGATTTTTGAATATGTTGATTTAGTGTTGAACACGTACAATATATATTTGTTTAAACATATTTTTCTCCAATTGGAAACTAGAGAAGAGAAGATAATGTAAAAATGTATCAAGTTTTTTAATCTATTCCTAAAAACGTGTAATTTTTTTTTTGGGGGGGTGGGGGGATATGCAATTTAGGGACTACGAATTGAAGAATTTTGTTCATAATTCTTTCCATTTAGATTTTATTAATTTTGCCTTCTATGTCTTCAATTATATTTATGAAAAAATACGTTGCGCTATCTAGTGAGAAAATCGCGGATGCTGATTAATATACCTGCAAGTTACGTCTTTAGTACACGCCGAAATTTTAACTGTGGTCGCCAAATAAAAAATTACCAAATAGCAAAACCCCAACATCTCCAAAAAAAACATTTCGCGATGATTTCAAAATAAGCAATACTAAAATTCTCATCTTAGTTTTTCAATTTCACTTTTAAACTTAACGCATTAATCAAACAGAATGGTCAAAAATGAAATCATATTTGCAAAGATATTTTTGGCCAGCTACTTTTGCAATAGCAATATCATATGCCACAACAATGTGTTTACTTTAGGTATATCCGTTGAACAGTATCACTATGATAGTAGTATAAAAAGTATAGTAGACTATGAGCATAAATTCTACTGTGGTAGATAAACGAAAATCAAGTTTCGTTGCCCTTTGTTCAATATTAGCTTCGCAAATGTCACGGCAAAAGGAGGCCCAATTTAAAATAGTACGAGTGCTATAATTCATAGTCCCGCAGTATATAATTGCGAGGATCTGTCTTAAAAAAGAATGGCGAAGAAAGAATCCTTCCTGATACTCTACGCCCTCATTCACAGTCCTTTTGGACCGGCTTCTTGATGAAAGATGCCTCCTCTTCAGCTATTGAATTGTTGGAAGGGTTTCATTACTCGTGTGTCATAAGAATATAAGTAAAAATGAAAAACCTCATAAAAGCTGAAAAGTTCAAAGTCATATTTTAAATATTATTTAACACTAACTTAGGTTTTGAAGGGTCCAATTTTCGGCCCACATGATATTAATGGTCTGATATGACAATATTAATTGTAGGTACCGGTCCAAGAACCATTTTTTTTAAATTAAAGACTAAAAATATGCACAAGTTGTGAGCAGAATGAATGGAAAAAAGGAACGCGATCTAAGCAACAAGCAACAAAAAATTTTATAAAGAACTATGGTTACGCCAACTAACAATTTTGGTATCTATGACCCTCTCTGCTACTACTAAAGACGTAAACCGTCAATATTTAAAAGTTTTGTTTTTCCCAACGGTGGTGAACCGAATGTGTGCTTAAATAATACAGAGCTTTCTAGCTTCATTTTTGGGAGAATATTCAACTAAGTCGCTATTAGATGGATAATAACTCTCAAATTGGATATGAATTGAAATTTTGGTTGATGCGAATTAACGCTGATCCGCTACGGCTAGAAACTGTTTTCTGTGGTAACTTTACTAACCAGCTTGTACGTTTGGCTATACCCCTGAATGTTGATATATAATTATTTATATTATGCGTGTGTTTTTTGTTGTTAAATTTAGCGACAGCGCGAGCGGCAGTAGCAGTAACGCCTCATTAGATCGGGAAAAGGAGTCGGTGAGTCCGGGACCTCACGATAAGTTCGGCGCGATACGGGAAGGGATCGTCCATTGCAAGGTTTTGGAAATCGACGGCAAGGTGAGTTAACATTTTTCCCTACCTTATTTATATTTAACCCTTAAATGAGTGACAGCTATAAACTAGGAAAAAGAAAAAAATGTTTTTTCCTTGTTTTTTCGTTAATAGAAATAAAAATATCGATATCTCATTCAAAGAGATAATGCAGAAAATTATTATGCTTAAAGCGTTTTTTTTTTGTATTTGCAAAGGCTGTTGCAGTACTTTTCGCATGTGTATGTAAATCTCGGTTCTTCGGTTAGTTTTGGTTTAGCCTTCCCTTTTCTTCATTTTTCTGCATTTTGTTTTGTTTTTATTGAGATTTTATTCCAATTCCTTGCAACTTGGATGTCCATTTATTTTTTCTTTTTTCAATGACAGGCCAATATCCTCTTTCGTCCGTCCTGACTTCCTTTGAGTCGGCCCTTTTGTTCTTCGTTTTGTATGTTCAATAAAAATTGACAAGGCGTTTCAAAGTTTAAAATCCTAGCAAATAAATTATGTGCTATTAGAATGAAGTTGGATTATTTATTTTTTATTTTGGATTTAGAACTAAGGGTTTTTCGTTCCTGGCGATATTTCTTTGCTTTCTGTTTCTCTCCTTGTTTGTAGTTCATCATTTTCTTCTGTTGCCACGCCCTTCTTTTTTGTTTTGGTCGTTTTTTTTCTCATTTTTTCTTGCCCCATTTCGCAATTTTTATCGTCATCCGGTAAATACCAAGCTAAAGATATTGTTAAAGTAACTTTCCGTACCAATGAAGAGAAGTTTCTTTAAGTAGAAGCTCTATTTTTGTCTAAATTTTTGTCGGGTCTATTCATTGTGACTTATCCATTTATAAAGTACTTAGCACCTCTGCGACAACAGCATTAACTTGTTATAAGGTTATCTCTCAGATCGCAGACAAGTTACTTTCTTCCGAGCGGAGTATCACGTATGGGGTTCCACAAGCATCGATTTTGGGCCCATTTCCGAGCAATAAATTAATTCTTTTCGCAAATGATACGACCGTGGCATGTTGAGTCATATTTATGAGTTTAACAGTCATGAAAAAATAAAATTTTCAACACATAGTTCTTCAACCTTCAACCCTCTAGTTTGGCAAGAATAGCTTTTTGGGAGTTGCGCTCCATTTTGCAAAGGCCGAAATATAATGTGTTACTGAATCAAAATGCCTTGCAGTTTCCAACAGGTAACAAATTAAAATAATTCGGCAAAACCCGATTTCAGGCCATACTGGCATATTTATTAGAGAGCAATGTTAGTTAGTTTCCTAAAAACTGATGTAGCCTAAAACAAACTAATTTACTTGAAATCGGGTTTGCCCGGTAACAAATACATAACAAAATGTCACCTACCGGCTACCACAAAATTAATACTTTCAAGGTATATATACACATGGATATATTATAAATTACATGATTTTGTTTGACCTTGTGGATCTTTGAATGAAGCAAGTTACTTAAGGCCAACAATTCGCATTTAAGGGTTAAGGCAACATTTCAAATTTTAATCTCTCGCCAAACAGGATGCGGTTTTATAATCCACTTTGAAAACCCAAAAATTCTTTATAGTGTTTACGGTAGTTTTATCTTTTCCTACTAATTCGGGCTGTTTACTATCTACGCAAAATATACCTTGGTCCAATCAGATTTACCGACATTTTGCACACAACTGACAAAAAAAGCGATCATTAACGACTTACTATAAATATATAATTTAATAAAAAATAATTTGAAATTAGGAGATAACTTTCAGGGGACACCCACAGAAAGAAGCGGTGCCTATCTCACTGTCACTTAAAATTCCACCGAAAGGTGTCCGGCGCCGGCCGAGAGGTATTCTTCCCTTCTTTTGTAATAATCTACAGCACATGGAAATATTATAAAGACCTTTACGACCCTAGATGTTAAATTGTTGCAAAATTTGAATTGCTTTATTATTCGAGATGGGTTTACTGCTGCATAGTATCCAGTTTTAAACTGCAGGGTCGTATCAGTTCGTCAATTTTAGTCTACGTTGCCTCCGGTATTTCAGATACGTAAGAGATATGGGGCGGCTTCAGTTGTGGTTGTTATTATCTCCAATAATATTCCTTTTAAATAGTTAACTTTTGTCCTTTGTATTAAATTAACATTGGAACATGGTCTTTTATTGAAGTCAAAAATCTCCTACGTAACATTTTGAATTTTACCAATTATTATTAATTTTACAAATAATGTAAAGCCCATATTGTGCATTAACACACAATAACGCGTTTTACCACAAACCGAAACTCAATTTTACGTACTTGACGCGCGTTTCGCCAACCAAGTTGGCATCTTCAGGAGAAGATTATAACTAAACTTAATAGAACAGATGCTCTCTATATATATACACATCGGGAAGTGGGAGAGGGAATTACGCACTGTTCACGCAACCAATCAGCGCGTATAATGGGCTAAACGGGATTGGACCTCTGTCCTTGATCAGTGCCTTATTCCCTCTCTTAACAATTTCTAAGCTTTCGTAGGCATCTAATTTTCTACTATTATTTACATGTTTAACTAATTTTAAATTTCTTATATCTACCTTATGATTATTGTTGAACATATGTTCGGCTACACTTGATTTTTCTAATCTACCAAATTTTAAATGAGCTAAATGTTCTTTAAATCTAACATTAATTGCTCTTTTGGTTTGCTCTACATATGTCTTGTCACAATCGTTACAACATATTTCATAAATTCGCAAGGGTATCTAGTTTATCCTTGGGATTATCCAAGATATTTTTTTAATTTTGATCCGGACTGATAGACACTTCGAAGACCTGCGGCCACTTGTATAATGGGGAGAGAAAGGAATCGAGACTACTTTTAAATTTTCCTTATCAGCTTGAAAAGTCGTTGATTTTTGAAGTTTGTTTTTAAATCTAAATTTCCTAATTAGCTTATCGATAAAACTATCTTCATAGCCATTGATTCTAGCCACCTTTTTTATAAGGCTTCTTTCCACCTCAAACCTTTCTTGATTTAAAGGAAATGTGACAAGTCTATGGACTAGAAAATTAAAACTTGCCATTTTATGTTGAAAAGCATGGTTAGAATCATTGGTTATGTATCTTAAAGTACTAGTGTCTTTCCTACAAATGTCAAAAACTATATGATTTTCACTGTTTTTGATAACGAGAACGCCCAAAAAAGGCAACTGCATGTTACTTTCTATTTCATATATGAATTTAATAGATGGGAAGTAATTATTCAAGTTTGAAATAAAGTCATTTAAATCCATGCAAGTTGTATCAAAAACCGCGAAAACATCGTCGACGTATCTATACCATATCCTAGGAAAGTCCTCGAAATTTTCTTTAGCACTATGTTCAAAATGATGCATGAAAAGTTCAGCCAGGAAAGGAGATAAACAATTTCCCATGGCCGTGCCATTTTGTTGTTCATAATAGTTGTTATTATATAGAGAAATATTTTTACTCATGCAAAGCTTTGTCAGAGTGATTAGCTCTTCAATTATATCGTTACTGTAGTTATTATATTCGAGTAATTTCCTGAGGTATTCCGAAGTTTCTGGTATAAGAACGCTTGGAAATAATGAAAATTATAATGAAATAAATTCATACCAGAAAAGGTCCATCGGTATAAATGAGCCCGCATTTCAAATTTTTGTCAGTTTTTGATTCGTTTAAATCAACTTTTTATACGATTCTTTAAGTGTAATGAAGATCCCAGTTTTAATTATATCAAATTTGATTCAAAGATAGTAATGAAATAATAATTTCTAGTCGGATTGTATTGGCCATCTTTAGTACACCAGTAGACAAGAGTTTTATTGGATTTATCTGTGAAACGGTGATTTTTATCAAAGAAATATTTCAGACGTAAATTGTTGATCATACAATTATTTACAATAATTCTTATACTTTTTAATGTTGTTTCCCCTACTGCATGATCTGTTATGACGCAGTTTTATGAGCCATAGTGGTATAAGTTATTTAATACAGAGTTCTAATTTATGTTAATATCTGATGCCAACGTAATATTTCCAGAAAGAACATTGTCTTCTTTAAAGTAAAATAAAAATTGTCATTTTTATAAGCAGGAATGAATTGTGTTATTTCATAAACAACTAAGAAGTAAAAAAATGTAAAATCTGAACTTATATTTTGTCAGCAGTGTATGTATGAGTTTGAACTACTATACTTTAAGTGGAAAAGTCCTATATTAAAAAAAAGAAAAACAAAGAAATTCCGAACAGTCCGTATACACGAAATGACTATTTTTTGTGATCTACAATTTATATCGAAAAAAAATCCAAAAATCGATAATTTTGGCTTTCACTTGAGATCAATGTAGACTTCCGGCACCTTTTTTTTTTATGTTTTATCAGTTTTTTTTTATTTAAGATGTCTATTTATCATTTCAATAATTTTCGAACAAATTTCAAAATTGTACTTCAGGTTTTTGGCGGGATAGGTTTGTGAACTGTGGACCCCTGCCAAGTTTCGCACTACTAATAAAAACATCAGTCATAGACTAGTAACGAATTTTGAGTTTACTTTTTTCTCTGCACCCCACTAGATATTTTTGCTCTCTTGGTGCTACGTTTCTAACCCGGTAGTTTACCTTTGCCATTGCTGCTCAGACGCGGGCCAATAAACGACCAGATAAAGCTTGTAAAATCGTTTACAAACCCAACGAAATATATATTGTTCGTACTTTGAGCGGTTGCGTGACACGGTTTTTGGGTTTGTTGCAGCGCGCTGCGGACCGATCTTGGAAACAGGCGATGATCGTTCTCAAAGGACCGAAACTGTTTCTCTATAAGGACCGACACCATCAGGTGAGAGACTTCTTTAACCCTATGGGCTTGTTTGTCACTGTTTTCTTGTTTTTATTCTAGGATATTTATTATCTTCCAAAGTCACTAATTTGTAACATTTTGCACCAATTTTTTTGAATTTTTGCTAAAAAGTAGCAATCATTTTTAAACCATTAAAAAATTGAATGTTTAATGAGTAATAGGTAACAAAACAATTAGCGGAATTCAATTCGATTAAACTTCCCTGTTAAAGTCATGTTTTCTACATTATTTTTAATCCCTCAAATATTAAATTTAACAAAACTATTGCTTGTATAGATCGTCTTTTTTAAAAATAACCTAATACTTTAAAATACATACCTGCATCTTAAATCGAGACTTCGGAAGTTGCTATTGAAAAGCGATACCTTATCTATCTAATGTAAATTATGTATTTACACATAAAAATTCAGAATAGATTTCAGATTCACACGTAATATAAAGACCAAATATTTCAGATAAACAAATTCTTAATAACGCAGGTTTTGACGTGTAGTTTATGAGTATTTTCTGGGTGTGAAGCCAGGGAATTTAGGCCCTTTTAGAGTTAACACTTTTATTAAAAGTGATTGATGAAAGTTCTCGAATTTTAGTTTTATCGGTTAAGTTTTGTCATTAATAACAAAATAGTTGATATTAAATTTCGTATGTCCTGTACAGCAGCTAATACTTAGCGCTGGATTATTCATTCGGCTGCAGTTCTAAAGTGCATTGACATCTTTCCACAGTATATTCATATCTTGGAGAGACCACTTATACATCTATATAACTTGGGTGAAGGGCGACCACCTTGTAGTAGTACCCCCGATGAAACCTCAAACAATTTTGAATGAAAATAAAACAGTTTTACTCTTATATGACGGGTCTCTAAAAAAACTGACATTAATTCTAGCGTCCTTCTAGTAAAACTATCCAAATTTGTTTTTTTCTCTCCAACGATTCCAACATGTTGATTTCATATTAACCAGCAACTACCAATTCAAAGTTTTATATTGTTAGATTACGTTCGAATATTTAAATATTGGCGCGATCTATCGATTTCGGATGCGTCGGGAAATCTTCGGGTCTATTCGCGCGCGTGAGTCGGGACGCCGCAGAGGGTGGCGACGGGCATCAGTTGATGCCCTGCTCTGGCATGCACCGCTCGACATTGACGCCAAGATCGGAAAAGTCGTCTTTAAAACAATCTCGATTTATTTAAATCTAACATCAGGTGTGGGGTACACGTGTAATCGTTTAACGTAATTTGGAGTGTGCTATAATGGCCGAAGAAGAACTGAATCGATCTTTGGGCGCCATAGCGTCGATCCTTGAGAATTTGCAACAGCGTGTCGGTACAAAGGAGCCGTCGCCGACATCAACCACATCGCCAGCCACCCAAACCACTCCCATTTCGTTGGCCTTGCCGAGTTTTGACCCCGACAATATGGATAGTGGTATTTGGTTACAAAAAATTGAAGGGTATAAGAACGAATTTGCTTGGTCAGATCGGGAAACCGTGAGTAGAATTGGTCCATTTTTGCAAAAATCTGCACTAAGATGGTTTTCGGCATGGCAACCCACGGAAGAAACGTGGGAAAATTTTAAATTTGACTTTTCTGTATCTTTTCCCAAACAAAAGAATTTGGGTAAACTGTTAAGCGATGCTGTAAATTATCGTAGTTCCGATGCGCGCAGTTATGTTGAATACGCGAGAATTAAATTAGAAAAATTAAAGCGCACGCGGGCAAGTTGGTCTGATTCGGATTTGATCGAAATAATTGCTCATTCAATAGACGATCTTGCGGTCAGAACTGCGGCCTATAATTGTAGTGCCGCCTCTGTTAGTGATTTAATTGCATTTCTCTCTAATTACATAAAAATTCCTCTAGTCGAAAAATCGGCATCCGAATTGAATAAGAAAAATAATGTATTTTCACACAAAAAAACGACGCAGGCAAATTGTTATTCTTGCGGTCAATCGGGACACTTTTCTCGCGATTGTAAATCTAAAACTAAGAATACCAATAACTCGGATAATAAAGGGTTTGATGTTTGCCGATATTGTAAAAGACCTGGTCACGGCATTGAAAATTGTTTTCGTCGGCAAAATAAACAAAGTCGAGGAAGTGAAGTTTCAGAGTCCGGACAGGACCCAACCGTAAAGAAATTTAAATCTCATCACGTTTTGCTCAATTCACATAATTTTAATGAAAACAAGTTAAAAACTGTGCCTATCGTTATTTCGGGTTACACTACAAATTGTTTAATTGATACCGGCTCCACGTGTTCGCTAATAAAAGAAACGTTGGTAGACAAATTAAATCTAAAGAAAATTCCGCGTGTTACTCCTTTACGATGGTTCGACGGTACCATACATAATTCTTTTTCTTTTACCAAAGCATTGGTAGAGTTTCCCGAAATAAAAATAACGCTTGATCTTGTTATTGTGCCGCATAGTCATTCCAAATATGACGTTATCGTTGGTGAAAATGTTTACGAAAATAATGTAGTTTTAATAAAAAATAAAAACGTTCAAAAAATTATGCCCATGCTTGCGCTTACAAATTCTACTCGAACCATTCATAACTCGGAAATAACAAGTGATCTGGAGCATGCAGAAATGGCTGAACTAATCAAACTGCTGGGGAATTATCAGAATTTGTCAACTGCTACTGATTTTACCATTAAACCTGTCAATACCGGGGAATTAACCATCACATTGACAGAAAACAAAACTGTTTATCACCATCCCTACCGTATGTCGGAGTTTGAGCGTCAGAAAGTACGTGGCATCGTTGCTGATCTAATTAAAAACGAAATCGTCCGGGAGAGCAATTCTCCATTTGGGAGCCCGATTATACTCGTTAAGAAAAAAGATGGGACATTTCGATTGTGTGTCGATTATCGTCATTTGAATAAAATAACTTTAAGAGATCGGTATCCATTGCCACGTATTGACGATCAGCTCGATCGTTTAGGCAAAAATAAATTTTTCACGTCACTTGATATGGCTTCGGGCTTTCACCAAATCCCGATTAATCCCGAGTCGATTCCAAAAACCGCTTTCGTGACACCGGATGGTCAGTATGAGTATTTAAAAATGCCTTTTGGACTGGCCAATGGTCCTGCGGTCTTTCAGAGAGCAATTAATATGGCTTTAGGTAACCTAAAATATGACACCGCGGTTGTTTACATGGATGACATAGTAATACCCTCCATCACACTTGAGGATGGATTTTGTAAACTAAAATTAGTTCTTGATGCTTTGTCTAAAGCCGGATTTTCAATTAACCTTCGTAAATGTCGATTTTTTATGCAAAACATCACCTATTTAGGTCGTCAAATATCGGCTGATGGTATCCGACCTGATCCGAATAAAGTTAAAGCAGTCAAGGAAAGTCTGTCACCCACTAACGTGAAACAAGTGCGCCAATTCATCGGTTTGGCGAGCTACTTCCGTAAATTTATTCCCGCTTTTTCTTCCAAAGTAGCTTGTATAACTCACTTGACTCGTAATGATGTTCCCTTTGTTTGGACGACTGAATGTGAAAAAGCAAGGCAGTATGTTATTGATGTCCTTACTCAAAAACCCCTATTGTCAATTTTCGATTCAAATTTAGAGACTCAATTGCATACTGATGCGAGCAGTATTGGTTTCGGTGCTATTTTATTGCAGAAACACAGTGATACCTTTCGTCCAGTTGAATATTTCAGTCAAAAAACCAATCCAGATGAAGCTATGTATCATTCGTTTGAACTAGAGACTCTGGCCGTTGTGAAAGCTTTAAAAAATTTTCGTGTATATTTGCTTGGATTAAGATTCACTTTAGTAACTGATTGCAATTCCTTAAAATTATCTGCAAGCAAAAAAGAACTTAAGCCGCGGACCGCCCGCTGGTGGGCTTATATGCAGGATTTCGACTTCGAAATTGTTTATCGTAAGGGCTCTGAAATATCTCATGTTGACTTCCTTAGCAGGAACCCAATTGAAACTGTAGCTCATATCGATTCACAACCCAATTTTCATAAAAATTGGCTTACCGTATCACAAAGTCAAGATGAGGAATGTAAACAAATCATTCAATCTTTGAACGATGCTAAAGATGATGTCAAACGAAAATATAAATTAGAAAAAGAGACCTTATTTCGTATTACAACCAATAAAAATAACAAATCGTCTCAGTCTTTACTTTTTGTACCATCTAATAACCGTTATAGTCTTTTGAAAATATTTCACGATGATCAAAGTCACATAGGTTGGGAAAAAACTCTTGCCTCAATCAGACTTTACTTTTGGTTTCCCCATATGACCAGGTATGTTAAAAAGTATGTTGAACACTGTTTGATATGTGCAGTACGAAAAAATCAGACGGGTCCTAAACAAGGCTTCCTTACTTCTATCCCAAAGCCCGATGAACCATTCCATACAGTTCATGTCGACTGTCTGGGCCCCTTACCAGGTAATCCAAAAAACTATAAATATATCCTTGTTATAATTGACGCCTTCTCCAAATTCTGTCTCCTATATCCTCAATCCACCGTTACTACAGAAGAAACAACACAAAATTTTGCTAAATTCCTCAGCATATTTGGCACGCCCTCCAAACTAATTCACGACGCTGGAACTAATTTCATAGCAAAAATATTTAAATCATTTACCGAATATTTTGGCATCGAATTACACGTGACAACCCCCGGTGTTCATCGCTCCAACGGACAAATAGAACGCTATATGCGAACTATTACCAATTTGTTAAGAGTTGAATCCAATAAAGTAACAGATTGGCCGAACAAAGTATGGAAGATCCAGTTAGTAATCAATACTACGAAACAAAAGACGACTGGTTGCTCACCTTTTAAGTTAGTATTTGGTCGAGAGGGTCAAACGCCTCAAATTCGTACAGTCTTAACCGATTTGCCAATCCCTGATGAAACTAAATCTCCAGTGGATTATTCCGCAGTTATAAAGAAACTACGGCAAAATTCAGAAAGGCAGTTGA